GTGAGTAGTAGACCTTACCATGTCTGAGGACCTTTTCAATCTGAAACCTGATACAGCCAAATTCCATATGAAATGCCAAAGAGAAAAAAGAAAAAAAGGCAAGAGCAAGAGCTACAAAATATTATCAGTTTACCCAAACTCTGAGTATCAGGTGCTTAGCTCTCATCACATAGTTGATCATAATTACACAATTTTTGCCAAATCTAAAATATCCTTTTCTTCTCATTTCTTTACAACATCCCTCCAAGGACAAAACAAGTTGGAACTCACTTTGCTCAGTCTATTTTGAGGACTGATGTCAGTACTTAAGGAGGCGGCTTGACTGTGACAACCCCGAGGAAGGCACTTCAGAGCAAGCATATCTGACTGTGGAAACGAGTTCATCTTTCACACAAGCTCTGAAGTGCAGAAACAAAAGTCTATGTGGTCAGTGTAATCAAAAAATAACTTTTAGGGTTTGTATAAGGGCAGGGAGGTGATCTTAGGTAGCTCTGATACTGACCATTAGGCAAGGCAGTAGGCTATCAACAGAGGGAAAAGTTAAGACATTTTCCCCTAAAATAACATAATATCTCCCCTAAATTATTAATCATCTTCTTTTCTTATCAATTTAGGTCATTTTGCCAATCATTACCTTTACCTCTGGGATCTTATTTTGGCTAACCAAAACATATTATATTTACAGTTTCCTGTATTAAAAGAAATTAAAAGCCTGTTGGTCTGGGGGGGGGGGTGTAAGTTAGATCCTGGGCACTTCACATGCCCTCCACATTTTAGCCTTCATCCTGCACAGGCATCTGTACATATTCTTCCTTTGTGAGCTTGACACACATACTGAAAGCCCCCATTAGTACCAAAGATACATATCAAGGCTTTAAAAACATTATACTTCAAGTATGTAAGTTCTGCAGTAAATTCCAAGAAAGTAAGATCTTCAGAAAGGCATTTCACACACATGAAGTGTTAGGATCAATTTCTCAACAAGGCTTAGCCAATTAGCCCACCTAGGGGCTGCTGCAAAGGTTTCTACACCAGGTGCACATTTTTAAACTGCCTTTCCCCACTTTTACCGGGTACTAAGTCCTACACACAGCTCCTTTATATGAATCTTAGCTGCATGATAAGATGAAGTCAAGGTATTCCCTTTATAGAACTTAAGGAATGGCTTGCAGACAATTAAACTGAAGAGAATTCACTTCTACTCACAATCTTTCTTGCTTATATAACTTCAGCAGTTAGTTATAGTTATACTCTAGTATTTACACTGTTGAATTTGTGACTTATTCATCTTCTTGCTGAAGATAGAACCCTTTACAAATCTCAATAGCTCCCTTGCTTTGGGATCCCTGAGTGGGACAGACTCCCTCTAGCATCTATTTAATAAGGAGCATTGGGGGAGGGAGGTGGCGGCAGGGGACAGGCAAAAAACCCAAAAGTGTCCTAACCCCTTAGGTTAGTACTTCAAAGGATAGACTCATTGTAAATGTGCTTTTCCACACTATAACCCATAAAAGTCACCTGGAAAGTTAAGTTTCACAATAAAAGTCTTTTTGTTTCAGTTCTTCAAGGTAACTTATTCTCACATCTGATCTTGAGCCAAAGGGCAAACAGTTAATATTTAACATAAACTGTAAATGGTGCTCAACACGCAGGCACATACATGCACGCTTGCACGTGCGCACACCATATGGGCTGGTGGAAGATGTAATAAAATGTGTTTTAATCACTATCCAGCAACACACATATTTATATGTTTGGATATAAAAACAGGTCTAGAGTTTAAAAGCCTTCTCTTGAGAAATGTAGAAGACAGCTGTGACTATAGCTGACAGGTCTTAGAGTGTCACGTGACAGACCTAAGACTACCAGCCAGCAGAACTCCAGAACTACCAGCCCCTCTTATGTTGTGGGGGACTCCAGTCTGAGAAGGGTTACTTTGTCTTCTATCACTCAAAATGCACCATAACTCCAGAAAATGAAAAATAAAATGTTCATTGTTCAAAGCAGATTAGGGCTTCACCCTAAGGTACAGGGTAGGTTCACTGTTTTGCACCCTCCCCCCAAAAATCTGCAAAAACCTTGCTAATTAAAAAAAAAAATAGTGGAGTAGAAAGGGAAATAGACTACATTCCTGATAATTCCATGAAGGTATTTACCTTTTAACACTTTTAAAGTACAGGATAACTTGAGTAAAATTTTATGGAGATCAAATTAATGACAATAAATATACATTTGGTATGTATTAGAAACCAGGGAAATTCAGGGTAAATGTTTTTACAAGGCTTTCCCATGGGTGGGAAGAGGAAAGTCTACATCAAATCCATCATTATCGGAATTAGTAGAATTAATTCAATACCTTTTTGTTGAGGCAATGTCCTGTTTCAAATTAACAGCCTACCTCCCCTAAGACACAAACTTATTAAAAATCCAACGTGGTACCAATACAATTATGTCATCGATATAAAAACAGTGTGAATTGTCATGCAACCAAACCTACAAAATAAAACTTGACTAAAATTCAATCCTATAGCTTCTAAAAATTTTAACTGTAAAGGTTTTAGTGCATGAAAGTATAATAAGGAACTTAAGTCTAAAGACAACTAAAACATACAGAGACAAGAACAGAACTGAGGCAAAGGGCTACCGGGCTATAGCAAGTAACCTATAGTGCAGGAAACAGAACCTGAATGTATAAAATTAAAGTCTAATGTGCCATCCTCAACTGACAACCACTTTTCCTCTCCATGACCAAACATCAGGTCCTTTAGAATAGCTTGAGTTGAAGGTAAGGATGTGGGGGTAGGATACTAAAAATAATTACATAAATGCATGAAGCTTTCCAAGACTAATAATCATAAAGAAAATAGCATGAAGTATTGGTTTGGGTTTACAAAGGACTATGTTTGCTTGAACTATTCTAATGGAAAATCATAATTCATTTTTTCCCTCAGCCTGTTTGTCTTTGACTAAATATTGAAGCACATCATGCTGACTACATCCCATAACAGCATGAGATTTTAAAGAACATGTTTAGTTTGAACATTTTAGATAAAACTGGGCAGTTTGAACTAGGTTCTAAGATGTTGGCACCACATGTCAGAGGCTACACAAATTTCCTTGACATGGTAAATTAAGTTCCGTTGACTTAGAGACACAGATAAGAAGGGTCTAATAACAGATGGATATCCATACTGCTAAAATGCTGCCCTCAGTGACTGCTACTAGGCACTGTGTCTGTTCTGAACCCCCTTTCAATCATTAGCAGCCAGCTTCTTAATACTTTATAGTGTTTAAAACCTCTGCTGCCTACAGCTACTGCCCGCATTAGCTGGCCACTCACACAAATTCAGAAGCACGCCGTGAGTACATTATTCTCTTCAAACATCATCAACAGCAGACATTGATCATAAGAGGGTAAATTTTCTAAAAGACTGTTTTGGTTAAGGAGCCTAAGAGGTAAGGGTGGGAAATGTTTAGGAAGAGGCAGAAGTGTTTCTCATTCTCCAGGAAGGCCAGTTCTGTCAGGATTTCACAGAGAAGGAAAACTGTTGGGGAAAGTTACTGAGGAGAGTAGAACCTAGTCCCCCACCATGCCCAAGGAGGGTTCACTGCAAAGCAGGCAGCCTGAAGGATGATCAAACAAAGCCATGGGCTGGGAGGGCTAAGAGACACTATTCTCAGAGAAATCTAAAAGGGACCCAAGTCCACTTGAACTTGCTCAATGACAACTGATCCAGTTTCGTCTGGTCTTAGGCACATCTTATGACAGTCAACCTGACTCCATTCTGCAGTCACTTAAAATTTCTTTACAGCCTCCAAATAATGTTCACTCCCTGAAAACGTTACCATGACCCTTTCCTGAGAACAGAACCAAGATCAAAACAAAAATCTCAAAAAATATTACATCCTTTTATGATACACTTTAGAGGATTAGCCAAAGTTGGGATGCCATGCTTTCACTACAGTTCTGCAGGTCTGTATTCCCAGGAAAACAGGGAAGCAGCCTGGAAGGAGACATGTCAATAGAGCTTGGTGAGTGGGAAACCTCTGCTTCCTCATTCAGGTCTCAACTTGGGCACTAACTGCTTCTTGAGCTGTAAGTCCTTAGCTTTCACCGTTGAAATGACAGCCCACAAGGATTTCCTAGGGTCCCTTCACCTTGAAGCTTGTCAGAAAGCCATCACAGGCTACAAGTGAAAACAACCAGAAAGATATTACACAGGACTTACCAAAGTCCATGTTTGCTCTAGATTGAGTTTGTTACTGAGCTACTGTGGAGGCGGACCTGTTGCATCATAGAGAATACCCCTTTTCTGAAAATGTTCTAGCAATACAAGAAGCAGGAAGTGTGTGTGTGTGTGTGTGTGTGTGTGTGTGTGTGTGTGTGTGTGTGTGTGTGTGTGTGTTGTGTGTGTGTGTGTAGTTCTAGTGTCTTCAATCAGTAATGGATAGTAAGTGGCCCATGACAGGAAGTCTCAGGTTTCATGTTTACAGTCTGTTACTTACACACAGAATGCCACCTGGCCAAGAGAAGGCCACGTGACTGAACACTGGGCACATTGGCTCACTCTTATAACCTTTGTATTACGCCTGATTGATGCCCTGCATTTATAGTCAGCTTCAATTTAAAACCACCTGCAAGCCTTCGTGGGGGGGGGGGGGGTTCAAGACCAGCACAGTGACTATTCTCAGGGTGGACTAACTGCAGCCAGCGAGAAGGCAGTGTATCTATCACCTGCCTTGTATTCACTCACACCTGCCTCTTACAGCTTAAGCTCAACACAGCACGTAACTTTAACCTGATTCAGCCTCACATCCTAACTGGCCACATCTCCTAAGGTAGTAAAAGGTAAACCGTGCAGCCTCTAGCAAACGGTGGAAGCGCAGACCTCGCTTGTCTCTGCGTGATAACGTTGAAGCCCTAGTTCCAACCATTTATCATACCTCCCTGAAAAACACAGCAGCGTGAGTGGGATTTCTGTCAGGGTTTACTCACTCACCTCTTTGATCTTTGCTCTCTTCTCGCGGATGGTGGCATCAGCTGGCTCTCGGTTCTCTACCCCGATGGGAGGTAGGAAGTCCACCTTGGGCAGGCCCCCAAACAGCTCCTTGTCACGCATATGGTCCTGGGCCACCTTTTCCTTCTCCAGCAGAATGTCTCTTTGAATTTCTTCGGGCAGCTTCTGCAGGGTCTCCTTGGCTTCCCTGAGAGCCCGCCACGGATCCTGGCTAAGTTGTCCTCCACTACAGCCCCGGGGTCCCCGGGCACGCCTTCCTCGCGGTGCCGGACTCGCCCCTCGGCGGCATCTTCGGCACGCGCCCCGGGCCCGGGCTTGTGCTCTGCCGCCGGCTGCAAGGCGGGGTTGGAGTGGAACAGGACCCCGCTGAGCAGCTTGGAGGAGTCAGGCAGGAAGAAGATTGCCCCGAAGCAGAGCGTGATGAAGGCGCTGAACACCAGCAGCAACACGAACTTCTCGGTGAGGCGGAAGGCTGCGGGGCCAGACCCTTTTCTACTGCCTCTACCCCCCCCGCCCAGGCCGCCGCCCAGGCCGCCGCCCCCCCGGC